TCTCCCAGAGCAAGGGGAGCAGATCAGCTCTGCAGAGGTCTCCATCCCGTGTACTAGGTATAGGAAGGAAAAGTTCATGCAGAGCACACATGGAGTGAGTGGAAGGGGCTCGGTAAGGCTACATGGAGTGAGTGGAAGGGGCTCGGTGGGGCTACATGGAGTGAGTGGAAGGGGCTCGGTGGGGCTACATGGAGTGAGTGGAAGGGGCTCGGTGGGGCTCCATTCCGTTGTGTCCCTCCTACATACAAAAGTCTTCCGGAAAGGTGTACATTGACACGGGGAGGAGAGAGTTAACTGGAGGACAGTTTATTAGTGAACATGGTGTACGGCCATCATTAATGTTAGAGGTCCACTTTAAACAGGGCCGTATCTAGCTTCTCTGATGTGGGGGTGCAGTAAAAAATGCCGGGGGGGGGGGGGGGGGGGCGGAGGATGATAGGTTAGCAGGGTAATGTACTGGGGGCCAGCAGGGCAGAAGATAGGATCTGCAGTTTGTAGGCCAGTGTACTGGGGCTATTAGTTTTTAGGGCAGTGTACAGTGGGTCAGCTGGGCAGTGTACTGGGGTCAGCAGGGGAGTGCGCAGTGGGTCAGCTAGGCAGTGTACAGGGGTCAGTAGGGCAGTGTGCAGGGGTCAGAAGGAGAGTACACAGTGGGTCAGAAGGAGAGTACACAGTGGGTCAGCTGGGCAGTGTACAGGGGTCAAAAGGAGAGTGCACAGTGTATCAGGTGGACAGTGTACAGGGGTCAGCAGGGGAGTGCGCAGTGGGTCAGCTGGGCAGTGTACAGGGGTCAGTAGGGCAGTGTGCAGGGGTCAGAAGGAGAGTGCACAGTGGGTCAGGTGGGCAGTGTACAGGGGTGAGCAGAGGAGTGCACAGTGGGTCAGCTGGGCAGTGTGCAGGGGTCAGCTGGAGCAGTGTACAGGGGTCAGCAGGGGAGTGCACATTGGGTCAGCTGGGAAGTGTACAGGGGTCAGCAGGGGAGTGCACAGTGGGTCAGCGGGGCAGTGTACAGGGGTCAGCATGGGAGTGCACAGTGGGTCAGGTGGGCAGTGTACAGGGGTCAGAAGGAGAGTGCCCTGTGGGTCAGTAGGGCAGTGTGCAGGGGTCAGAAGGAGAGTGCACAGTGGGTCAGGTGGGCAGTGTACAGGGGTCAGCAGGGGAGTGCACATTGGGTCAGCTGGACAGTGTACAGGGGTCAGCAGGGTAGTGCACAGTGAGTCAGCTGGGAAGTGTACAGGGGTCAGCATGGGAGTGCACAGTGGGTCAGCGGGGCAGTGTACAGGGGTCAGCAGGGGAGTGCAGAGTGGGTCAGCTGGGCAGTGTACAGGGGTCAGCAGGGGAGTGCACAGTGGGTCAGGTGGGCAGTGTACAGGGGTCAGCAGGGGAGTGCACAGTGGGTCAGATGGGCAGTGTACAGGGGTCAGAAGGAGAGTGCCCTGTGGGTCAGTAGGGCAGTGTGTAGGGGTCAGAAGGAGAGTGCACAGTGGGTCAGGTGGGCAGTGTGCAGGGGTCAGCTGGGCAGTGTACAGGGGTCAGTAGGGCAGTGTGCAGGGGTCAGAAGGAGAGTGCACAGTGGGTCAGGTGGGCAGTGTACAGGGGTGAGTAGGGGAGTGCACAGTGGGTCAGCTGGGCAGTGTGCAGGGGTCAGCTGGAGCAGTGTACAGGGGTCAGCAGGGGAGTGCACATTGGGTCAGCTGGGAAGTGTACAGGGGTCAGCATGGGAGTGCACAGTGGGTCAGCGGGGCAGTGTACAGGGTCAGCAGGGGAGTGCACAGTGGGTCAGGTGGGCAGTGTACAGGGGTCAGAAGGAGAGTGCCCTGTGGGTCAGTAGGGCAATGTGCAGGGGTCAGAAGGAGAGTGCACAGTGGGTCAGGTGGGCAGTGTACAGGGGTGAGCAGGGGAGTGCACAGTGGGTCAGCTGGGCAGTGTGCAGGGGTCAGCTGGGCAGTGTACATGGGTCAGCAGGGTAGTGCACAGTGAGTCAGCTGGGAAGTGTACAGGGGTCAGCATGCGAGTGCACAGTGGGTCAGCGGGCAGTGTACAGGGGTCAGCAGGGGAGTGCAGAGTGGGTCAGCTGGGCAGTGTACAGGGGTCAGCAGGGGAGTGCACAGTGGGTCAGGTGGGCAGTGTACAGGGGTCAGCAGGGGAGTGCACAGTGGGTCAGCTGGGCAGTGTGCAGGGGTCAGCTGGGCAGTGTGCAGGGGTCAGCAGGGTAGTGCACAGTGAGTCAGCTGGGAAGTGTACAGGGGTCAGCATGCGAGTGCACAGTGGGTAAGTGGGGCAGTGTACAGGGGTCAGCAGGGGAGTGCAGAGTGGGTCAGCTGGGCAGTGTACAGGGGTCAGCAGGTGAGTGCACAGTGGGTCAGGTGGGCAGTGTACAGGGGTCAGCAGGGGAGTGCACAGTGGGTCAGATGGGCAGTGTGCAGGGGTCAGAAGGAGAGTGCCCTGTGGGTCAGTAGGGCAGTGTGTAGGGGTCAGAAGGAGAGTGCACAGTGGGTCAGGTAGGCAGTGTGCAGGGGTCAGCTGGGCAGTGTACAGGGGTCAGCAGGGGAGTGCACATTGGGTCAGCTGGGCAGTGTACAGGGGTCAGAAGGAGAGTGCACAGTGTATCAGGTGGGCAGTGTACAGGGGTCAGCAGGGGAGTGCGCAGTGGGTCAGCTGGGCAGTGTGCAGGGGTCAGTAGGGCAGTGTGCAGGGGTCAGAAGGAGAGTGAACAGTGGGTCAGGTGGGCAGTGTACAGGGGTGAGCAGGGGAGTGCACAGTGGGTCAGCTGGGCAGTGTGCAGGGGTCAGCAGGGGAGTGCACATTGGGTCAGCTGGGCAGTATACAGGGGTCAGCAGGGGAGTGCGCAGTGGGTCAGCAGGGGAGTGTACAGTGGGTCAGCTGGTCAGTGCACATTGGGTCAGCTGGGCAGTGTACAGGGATCAGCAGGGGAGTGCACATTGGGTCAGCTGGGCAGTGTACAGGGGTGAGCAGGGGAGTGCACAGTGGGTCAGGTGGGCAGTGTACAGGGGTCAGCAGGGAAGTACACAGTGGGTCAGGTGGGCAGTGTACAGGGGTCAGAAGGAGAGTGCCCTGTGGGTCAGGTGGGCAGTGTACAGGGGTCAGCAGGGGAGTGCACAGTGGGTCAGCAGGGCAGTGTACAGGGGTCAGCAGGGGAGTGCACAGAACCTGGTAAGGCACTGTACTGGGAATCAGGAATTAATGGCAGGCAGGGCAGAGGACAGGGGTGACCCCTGGCAGGACAGAGGACAGGGGTCATCACTGGAAGGATAGAGAACAGGTGTCACAGCTGAAAGGATAGAGGACAGGGTTCACTACTGAAAGACCCATTGTTGGTGGTAGTGGGGTAAAATAAACCCTATCACTGATGTCAGTAGGATAAAATAAGTCCCATCGTTGGTGTCAGTGGGATAAAATAAGTCCCATTGTTGGTGTCATTGAGGTAAAATAAGCACCTTCACCAGTGTCAATGGAGGATCCCACAATATTTTTATTAACAGCTGGGATACCTGGAGGAAAGCCCCTAAAAACCTGCTTAGATAGTGTCTACTAAAATAAGCCTTATCATTGGTGTCAGTGGGATAAACTAAGTCCCATCATTGGTGTCATTGAGAACAAAGTCTAGCCCCAGCCCAGCATTGTGGTCAGTGGTGACACTTACCTGATCACAATCTCCTGCCATGTTTCCTCTCTGCTGATATTGGAGTTCTACTTTCACGGTCAGAAAGAAGCCCCCTCCACCTAACAGTCTGGTATAATTGCTACCCCTATAGGAACAAGCAACCAAGGCGCTGGATCAATGAAAAATGTTTTGAAAATGAAAAAAAGGTTTTTTTGACGTTTGGTATTTTACACAAAAAAGAACGTGAAGGCTTCATGTACACGAGCCTACCCTGACCGCCAGCCACAGGAAACCACAAATCGTGGTAAAAACGCAGTACCATGGTTGCCACATTTTCTGGCATTTTGTCTTCCCGTGGTCGATGGTCAAAATGTTCCTATCCTGAATGCGATTCTTCACGAGAGGGAGGTTTACCTTCGCCTAAACGCACCAGCTCCTAAACTCTTCTACATGGACACATAGGCTTTTATGGAGTTGGGTTTAGGGGCAAAAAAAATGCCCAAAAGCTCCTAAACTCGAGTTTCAGAGCGTCTCGTGTACATGGAGCCTAAGACTCGCTTTCATTCCACAGGTTCTGAGACTTATTCGATGAAGATCAGGCCCTACGTGAGTTTAATGACCACCTTCATCTGCTACGGAACCTGCGGAATTAATACGTGTTCGGTTTTAAAGGGATGAGGTAAGGTGGCCACCCCTAGTCCTGCTGTAGTAGCAATTTTGGAAAACTAGGAAACTCCGGACACGGACCTTGAGGAAAACAAGTGATTCAATAAAAACAGCACTGTTTGACCCAACCGGGCTCATGCCTGCAAAGCCGAGTTGTATCCACTTCTTACAATTATTATTATTATATACAGGATTTATGGCGCCAACAGTTTGCTCAGCGCTTTACAATATAATGGGAGACAATACAGTTCAATACAAGAGGGTTAGGAGGGCCTAATCCTGGGAGCTTACAATCTAAGAGGGAGGAGCAAGTGGTACAAAAGGTAATAACTGTGGGGGATTGACTGGTAGGATGAATAGAAGATTCAATTATTAGTTGAGGGCAGGATAGGCTTCCCTGAAGAGATTGGTTTTCAGTGATTGCCTAAAAGTGAGCGGAGTAGGTGATAGTCTGATAGATTGGGGTAGAGAGTTCCAGAAGATGGGGGAAGCTCTGGCGAAGTCCTGGAGATGAGCATGGGAGAAGGAGACAAGGGAGCTAGAGAGCAGGAGATTGTGCTAGGAGCAGAGAGGACGGTTTGGGTGATATTTGGAGACAAGATTGGTGATGTAATTGGGGGCAGAGTTATAAATGGCTTTATATGTTATTATTGTGGAGGACACTGAATGGAGGCCAGTGGAGGGATTGGCAGAGAGGGGTGGAGGACACTGAGTGGAGGCCAGTAGAGGGATTGGCAGAGAGGGGTGGAGGACACTGAGTGGAGGCCAGTGGAGGGATTGGCAGAGAGGGGTGGAGGACACTGAGTGGAGGCCAGTGGAGGGATTGGCAGAGAGGGATGGAGGACACTGAATGGAGACCAGTGGAGGGATTTGCAGAGAGGGGTGGAGGACACTGAGTGGAGGCCAGCGGAGGGATTGGCAGAGAGGGGTGGAGGACACTGAGTGGAGGTCAGCGGAGGGATTGGTAGAGAGGGGTTGCAGATACAGAACGGTTAGTAAGTCTGGCAGCAGCATTCATGATAGACTGAAGAGGGGATAGCCTGTGATAAGGTCGGCCAATGAGGAGGGAGTTACAATAGTCAAAGCGAGAGATAACCAGGGAGGGAATAAGTTGCTTAGTGGTTTCAGAGGTTAAGAACGGGCGTATCTTGGAGATGTTGCGGAGGTTGGAGATGTTGCGGAAGTTGGATATGTTGTGGAGGTTGGAGGTGTTGCGGAGGTTGGAGATGTTGCAGAGGTTGGAGATCTTGCGAAGGTTGGAGATGTTGTGGAGGTGAAGTCAATATTTGGACAGTGATTGGATTTGGGGCTGAAAAGACAGATGGGAGTCTAGGATTACACCTAGCACCCTGGCATGAGGAGAGGGACTGATGGTCGTATTATTGATCTTGATGGAGAAGTCAGGGGAGGGGGCATGGGCTGGAGGGAATACTAAGAGCTCAGTTTTGGAAAGATTTAGTTTGAGGAAGTGGAGTGACATCCATGCTGATATGTCACTTAGTAGGTTAGTAATGAGAGAGAAGACTGAAGGGGTGAGGTGTGGAGGAGACTGAAGGGGCGAGGTGTTGAGGAGACTGAAGGGGCGAGGTGAGGAGGAGACTGAAGGGGCGAGGTGTTGAGGAGACTGAAGGGGCGAGGTGAGGAGGAGATTGAAGGGGCGAAGTGTGGAGGAGATTGAAGGGGCAAGGTGAGGAGGAGACTGAAGGGACGAGGTGAGGAGGAGACTGAAGGGGCGAAGTGTGGAGGAGACTGAAGGGGCGAGGTGTGGAGGAGACTGAAGGGGTGAGGAGGAGACTGAAGGGGCGAGGCATGGAGGAGACGGAAAGGGCGAGGCATTGAGGAGACTGAAGGGGCAAGGTGTGGAGGAGACTGAAGGGGCAAGGTGTGAGGAGACAGAAGGGGCGAGGTGTGGAGGAGACTGAAGGGGTGAGGAGGAGACTGAAGGGGCGAGGCATGGAGGAGACTGAAGGGGCGAGGCATTGAGGAGACTGAAGGGGCGAGGTGTGGAGGAGACTGAAGGGGCGAGGTGTGGAGGATCCTGAAGGGGCGAGGTGAGGAGGAGACTGAAGGGGCGAGGTGTGGAGGAGACTGAAGGGGCGAGGTGATGAGGAGACTGAAGGGGCGAGGTGAGGAGGAGACTGAAGGGGTGAGGCGTGGGGGAGACTGAAGGGGTGAGGCGTGGAGGAGACTGAAGGGGTGAGGTGAGGAGGAGACTGAAGGAGTGAGGTGAGGGGTAGAAAGATAGATTTGTGTGTCATCAGCATAGAGATGGTAGTTAAAGCCATGGGAGTTTATCAAGCGACCAAGGGAAGAGGTGTATGTACCAATGATTACGTCACAATGCATCTTTTTCCTCTTTCACTTTGTGTACATTCAAAAGTCTTTCTAAACTCTGCAAAATATAGCCTTGAATTCCAGCTACAGGCCGGTACACATCACAGGAAATAAGGGTTTTTTTTTTTTTTTGCAAACAGAGTCTGTTAAAAATGTTAACGTTTAAAGGGGAACTCTGCAATATCTGGGTGCTGCCACACTGCAGGATTCGGGACTGCTGACAATGACAAGTCCTTGTTCAGGCTTTTTTTTTCCGAGGTTGCAGGTCCTCCGAGTTCCACAAGGTGGCGAGCTCGCTCCTACCCAGACAGGAAGTCTCAATGGTAGACAGGAAGTGAGGTCAGGGACAGACAGGAAGTGATGTCATCTACAGACAGGAAGTTCCGGGTGAGAGGCAAGTCTGGAGGAAGCAGAAGGGAGACATTGGTGGAAGTGGCAGTAGAGGAGGTAATAAGATCTGATTTTCTATCTCCACCCACTTTTTTGCGTGTGTTTTGCGCAGTTCTTACGACGTTTGTTATCGCACGGCTGTTTCGGGTCGTTCGTTCAGATCTAGGGGTAAGCACCTTTTGTTCTCCGGGTCACGTAGGTGAGTAGGGGCACAGTGTACCCTATACAAATCTATGTAGGTGATTTCTTGGGGTCTCCTTATTAATGGGGGGCTTCCAGATTCCGATCAGCCCTGCCGACCCCCACAACCATCCTTAATACGCTGCCCCAGAATGTCCTTTTCTTGGTCCGGGGGGTGGATGCGGTAGTTCTTTCTACATCGAGTGGAGCGTACTCCCCGTTTGTCTATTGAATATTGGGCTGCCAATGGATGTGGGAGAAACAAAGTGGATCTTCTCCGTTTTTTTTTTTTTATGGAGATCTCCGAACCTCTTCCACTACAGACACAAAGTAGCTTTGATGTTAAATCCAGAAGTTGGTCTTCCCGTAGAATGTGACGTCCCTTACAGGTATACCTAGGGTGGCCACCTCATCCCTTTAAAACGTGAACATATATTAATGACACGGGTTCCGGGGCTAATTTAAGGCTGTAAGTGGGTTCAATTAGCACCTTCATCAGCCCCGGAATATGTCGTCAATATGTGTTTGGGTTTAAAGGGATGAGGTGGCCACCCTAGGTATAATTGGGAATTCCAACACTTCCGATGTAGACCAACACACCATAGATCCTCTCAGCCGCCTATTCTTAGTGCCATTGCGAGATACTAATCTTTGTCATCCCTTAACATAGGTCCTCTGTTCCTGCTGGGAACAGCCCACTGATTAACCCCTTCCTAATACCGAACAACCAATACATCTGCACTGTCTGTCCACAGATAAGCCTGCATAGATCACATGACCCCATCAATGAGGATGGAGGAGGACCAGAGTCACATGACTGAGAGTATACTAAACTTCACCCTGGAGATCATCTACCTGCTGACCGGAGAGGTGAGGAGGATTCTGGGAGTTCACATGACATCACTCTCATCTCTATTAATAAATCACAGACCTGACCGGAGAGGTGAGGAGGATTCTGGGAGGTCACATGACATCACTCATCTCTATTAATAAAACACAGACCTGACGGGAGAGGTGAGGAGGACTCTGGGAGGTCACATGACGTCACTCTCATCTCTATTAATAACACACACACCTGACCGGAGAGGTGGGGAGGATTCTGGGAGGTCACATGACATCACACAGACCTGACTGGAGAGGTGAGGAGGATTCTGGGAGGTCACATGACATCACTCTGATCTCTATTAATAAAACACAGACCTGACCGGAGAGGTGAGGGGGATTCTGGGAGGTCACATGACATCACTCTCATCTCTATTAATAAAACACAGACCTGACCGGAGAGGTGAGGGGGATTCTGGGAGGTCACATGACCTCACTCTCATCTCTATTAATAAAACACAGACCTGACCGGAGAGGTGAGGAGGATTCTGGGAGGTCACATGACCTCACTCTCATCTCTATTAATAATTAATAAAACACAGACCTGACCGGAGAGGTGAGGGGGATTCTGGGAGGTCACATGACCTCACTCTCATCTCTATTAATAAAACACAGACCTGACCGGAGAGGTGAGGAGGATTCTGGGAGGTCACATGACCTCATTCTCATCTCTATCAATAATTAATAAAACACAGACCTGACCGGAGAGGTGAGGGGGATTCTGGGAGGTCACATGACCTCACTCTCATCTCTATTAATAAAACACAGACCTGACCGGAGAGGTGAGGGGGATTCTGGGAGGTCACATGACATCACTCTCCTCTCTATTAATAAAACACAGACCTGACTGGAGAGGTGAGGAGGATTCTCATAATATTATTTGTTCTTTCAGAGATGTCCTCCTGTAAAGTTTGGTGACCCCGTTACCATCACAGTGCCTCCATGTGACTCCCTAAACCCTGAGAGACACAACATGCAGAAGATTCTAGAAGTCACCAAGAAGATGATGGAGCTGCTGACAGGAGAGGTGAGCGGTGCCGGGAATTCTGGGACATTCTCCAGTAACAGACAAGGGATGTGTCTGGATGGTGACTGTATCACTGTGTGTGTCAGGTTCCTATAAGGTGTCAGGAAGATGATTATAAATTATTATACAGTATTTATATAGCGCCAGAAAGGTTTGCTCAGCGCTGTACAATAAAGTGGGGGACAGTACATGAGACAATACAGTAACAAAGTAATACACGAGGGGTTCAAGGGCCCTGCTCTTTTGAGCTTACAATCTAGGAGGATAAATTGCTTATCGTTATAATTTATACACAAACAAGTTGGTTACAATTTTTTTATAAAATGTTTAGAGCGGAAACCTTGAGGATTATAATTGAAGTTAAAGAAGAGTTTAAAGAGGAAGATGAGGAGTACGGTGTCATTAAGGAGCTTTCTGAAGGATACAGGGATCTCTACAAAGACATTACGATGGATCCACCTAATACCAGGAGCCCACCAGAGAGAAGTCCCCGTCCTCCGTATTCCCGGGATTCCATACAGGAAGGTAACACCATCCCTCACCATCATCAGGTAGGTGGAGTTGAGGGTCGGGAACATAAAGTGATGGAACACTCTGACATGTGGAGACGATGTGTGGACTCTACAAAATTAGATTTTTTTGCCGTTCTGTTGGTTTAGGGTGAAGATCTGATTATCTTGAAAGTTGAGGATGAAGTAGAAGAGACGTATGTGAGGGATGATCAGCAATATACGGAGGAGGCTGGAATGAGGAGGACATTCATAGAGGAGGACACTCCTACAGAGATCAGCACAGGTGACTATGATATATTCTTCTTTTATCTCTGCTCTGTTACCGCCCTCCCCCCCCCCAGCCCCCAATGGTTCCTGCTCCTCTGACAAAGCGGAGTAAATGTAGACGTGATCTGGGAGGACCAAAGACCCTTTGAAGAGGGGAAGAGTCCCAGCTGGTTGGGACATCCACAGAGAACATGTGCTCCCTCCTATCTCCTGATCCAGATGGAATCTTGATGGAAGTGAACTAACCCTCTCCTATCTATTGATGATGTTTTTCTATTTTTCCAGGACCCGCCATGGAGGAACCCTCAAAGGATTGTCTCACTTTATCTCCAGGTTGTAAAATGGAAGATGAGGACATCCCAGGAGAAAAGACAATGAGCTCCACTATGGATGGTGGACTTCCCAGTGTGGAGAGACCATGGAATCCTTCTGACTCTGAGCAACCTCGTGCTGTGGGGGATGGGGCCGGGGTTCAGAGGGAGAAGACATTTCCCTGTTCTGAGTGCGGGGAAGGTTTTAGTTCTGTACTACGTCTTCAGGTACATCAGAGATCTCACACGGGTGAAAAGCTTCATTCCTGTTCTGAGTGTGGGAAATGTTTCCTTCATAAATCAGAACTCAACATCCATTACAGATCTCACACGGGAGAGAAGCCGTATTCCTGTCCAGAGTGTGGGAAATGTTTTCTTTGTAAATCCAAATTGGTTCGGCATTACAGATCTCACACAGGTGAGAAGCCACATTTCTGCCCCGAATGTGGAAAATGCTATACACGGAAATCACACCTTTTAAGGCATCAGAGGTCCCACACGGGGGAGAAGCCGTATTTCTGCCCTGAGTGTGGGAAATGCTTTTTACAGAATTCTGACCTTGTTAGACATCAAAGATCTCACACAGGCCAGAAGCCTCATGCCTGCCTCGAGTGCGGGAAATGTTTCGCACAGAAATCAGACCTTGTTATACATCAAAGATCCCACACAAAGGAAAGCCCATTTTACTGCTGTCAGTGCGGGAAATGTTTTTCACAGAAGTCCAGTCTTCAGAGACATCAGAAATTGCATGTAGACAAGTTGTATTCTTGCCCAGAGTGTTTGAAATGTTTTCCGTCGGAATCAGAGCTTCTAGCACATCAAATATTCCACACCAAGAAGAAGCCATATTCCTGCCTTGAGTGCGGGAAATGTTTCTCAAAGATGTCTCTTCTTAGCAGACATCAGAGGATTCATACAGGTGAAAAGCCGTATCCCTGCCCTGAGTGTGGGAAATGTTTTTCTCAAAAGTCCAGTGTTGCTGCACATCAGGTATGCCACACACGGGAAAAGCTGTCCTTAGGAAATGTCATTCACAGAAATCAGAGCTTGTGACACATCAGAGGTCTCACATAGGGCAGAAAAGGTATGCCTGCCCTGAGTGCGGGAAATCTTCTACGGAGCTCAGACATTATTATACATGAAGAATTTCACACAGGAAAATATGTGCGGGAAATGTTTTTCACAGATGTCCTATGTAATTAAGCATCTGATATGTAACATACCTGAAAAGCCGTATTCCTGTTGTGAGTGTGGGAAATGTTTTTTTCATAGAAGCCTTGTCTATCCAAACATTGGAGAACCCACACAACCCTTGAGGTGTATTGCTGCCATGAGTGCGGGAAATGTTCTTCACAGAAGTCTTTTCTTACCAAACATCAGAGAACCCACACCATCCTCGAGGTGAATTAGTGTCCTGAGTGTGGGAAATGTCTTTTATATGGATGATATGTTGCCGTACATCACAGATCTGACACTGGGAAGAAGCACACCTTGATATACACCTCAGAAAATACGTGGCTGAGCGCTCCTCTGATCTTTATCATGGAAGAAACTTTATAAGGAGATCACTAAAGACTTCAACGTTGTGTCTGGCTTCCTCTGCTAGGAGAGAAAAGGGAGGGGGGGTCACTGCTGGTTGGGTCCCTCTAGCAGTGTAGTCTGATCTCTCCTGACCTTCAGAAGCTTCCATGGAGGATATCATGGTGAGAGAGAGAAGGAGGGGGGGGGGGGAGTCACTGCTGGTTGGGTCCCTCTAGCAGTGTAGTAGTCTGATCTCCCCTGACCTTCAGCAGAAGCTTCCATGGAGGACATCATGGTGAAAGAAGGAGGGGGGTCACTGCTGGTTGGGTTCCTCTAGCCGTGTAGTCTGATCTCCCCTGACCAGCAGAAGCTTCCATGGAGGACATCATGGTGAGAGAGAAAGGGGGGGGGGGTCACTGCTGGTTGGGTCCCTCTAGCAGTGTAGTCTGATCTCCCCTGACCTTCAGCAGAAGCTTCCATGGAGGACATCATGGTGAGAGAGAGAAGGAGGGGGGGAGTCACTGCTGGTTGGGTCCCTCTAGCAGTGTAGTCTGATCTCTGACCTTCAGCACAAGCTTACATGGAGGACATCATGGTGAGGGAGGAGCTAGATATTGCTTGTGGACGAAGAGAAGGAGATATCAGACTACATGGCTAAGCCGACAATTTCAGTGCAGTAGTTATTAGTCTGCACAATGCAGATTTGTTTTCTTGTTGAGTGCCACCTGCAGGGTGAAAGTGGAAAATATGACCTTTATAGATGTAACATTTCATATCTACCTGATAAAAAAATGTAAATATTTTAACACATTTTTAGCGTTAAATAAATGCAAAAATATTTTCATTCTTAAACTCCTGATATTCTCTTTACGTTGATTGATAGAAGTCTTCCTTCAGATTTGTGTGATGAAATGTTCTTCTCTTTTATTCCTTTCGCCAACACTACAAGTACGGCCCATCCTGTAGGTTTTAGTCTCCATCTTGTGTCTTAGTAGTTTGGTGTTCCCAGCTTGTCCTTGTTAGAACAGCCGACTCTCCCCCTTCTCATAGACCTCAGGACGTCTGTAGTATACTCCAATGATAAGTCCATCAGTCCATAGACCCATCTATCATTCCTCCCGTAATTCCTCCTCCGTACCATCATCTTGTTGGAACAGACGACTCTCCCCCTTCTCATAGACCTCAGGACGTCTGTAGTATACTCCAATGATAAGTCCAGCAGTCCATAGACCCATCTATCATTCCTCCCCCGTAATTCCTCCTCCGCACCATCACCACCTCCAAACACAAGATCATCTTTCTTCTTCACTTTCACATCACATCTAACATAGAGAAACCCCCCCCCCCCCCCTCCATCTTTTCTATGTCCCGTGTCCCTCTAAACAAGAGGATCAGCATGAATACAAACAGCCCAGTTTTGGGAGGAATCAAGCCGTGTTTCTAGAACACCAAACTCCATTCTCATCACTGACACCATCAACATCTCCCACTCAACTTTTCAAGGAATCATGGGTTTGAATCGTGTCCAAGAACTCACACCTACATCTCCAATTACTTAGCTGTTTTATGGTGAAAAGTGCCGAAACAGAACACAGCAGTCAGAAGTTCCTCCAATGGGCTGTGAGAAACCTCTACATGCAAGGGCATTTGTAGGGGCCAGTGTATGGCCACCAGGTTGTAGTGTGGTAACTACTGGACTTGTATTGCCAAGGGCAGCCTAATCTCCAGTTCTTTAGACAGTGGAGTCCAGGTTCTTTGTTAAAGCAGTACAGGTACAGCGGCTTTTTGTTTTTTGAAAAAGATGGGTTCCCCCTAATTCTCATCAGGCTCTGAGGTCTGGTATGAATTTGGAGGAGAACCTTACTCCCCCCCCCCCCCCCCCCCGCCATTTTTTTGGAGTCACGAATGGCTGCTGTCCCAATACTGTTTTATAATAGTGTGAGGTACCCTCCATATTCTATACCAGCCCGTTTAGATCTGGTATGGATTTTAAGGGGGAGCCCTATGCAAAATCATTGTAAAAAATGAGGTCCCCCACAAAAGATCATGCCAGACCTTTATCAGAGCATGCTGCCTGTCAGGCCAGGAAAGGAAGGGGGGGGGGGTGCATCCGTGCCCCTGAACTATACCAGGCCACGTGCCCTCAACAGCAGAGGGGAACCCGTCGTGGCAAAGCACCTTGTCCCTATGTTGTTGGTGACAAGGGCCTCTTTCCTTCAAACCTGGCCTAGTGGTTGTGGGGAGTCTGGCGGCAAGGGGCTTTGTCAGAATCTGGATGCCCCCTTTAACAATAAGTAGGCTCCCAGGAACTACCCTCCCTACATAGGGGGTACCTTGCTGGAAGGAAGGGGGCCCCTGGCAAATCACCTTGTCCCCATGTTGATAAAGACAAGGGCCTCTTCTCCCCAACCATGGCCTAGTGGTTGTGGTGGAGCATGCGGGCAGGGGGCTTGTCTAATTCTTGATGCCCCCTCTGACAAAAAGGAGGCTCCCAGATACCATCCTTCTAACATAAGGGGACCTTGCTGAGAGGGGGGACTCCTGGCAAAGCACGTTGTCCCCATGTTAATGAAAACAAGGGCCTCTTCCCCCCAACCCTGGCCTACTGGTTGTGAGTGGATCTGTGGGCAGGGGACTTGTCCAATCCTGCATGCCCCCTCTAACAAAAAGGAGGTTCCCAGATACCACCCTTCTAACATAAGGGGGGACCTTGCTGGGAAGGGAGGCTTCTGGCAAAGCACCTTGTCCCCATGTTGATGAAGACAAGGACCTCTTCCCCCCCTGACCCTGGCCTACTGGATTTGGGTGGGTTCTGTGGGCAGGGGACTTGTCCAATCCTGGGTCCCCCCTCTAACAAAAAGGAGGCTCCCGGATACCATCCTCCTAACATGGGGGGGGGGCCTTGCTGGGAGAGGGGCTTCTGGCAAAGCACCTTGTCTCCATGTTGATGAAGACAAGGGCCTTTTCCCCTCCAACCCTAGCCTACTGGTTTTATGTGGGTCTGTGGGCAGGGGACTTGTCCAATCCTGGATCCCCCCCTCTAACAAAAAGGAGGCTCCCAGATACCATCCTAACATAGGGGGGACCTTGCTGGGAGAGGGGCTTCTAGCAAAGCACCTTGTCCCACTGTTGAAGAAGACAAGGGCCTCTTCCTCATAACCCTAGCCTGGTGGTTGTAGGGTTCTGTGGGCAGGGGGGCTTTTTGCCCCCTTTAACAATAAGGAAGCTCCCAGATACCACCTCCATTGTAAATGAGTAAAGGGTAAGAGTTGAAGCATCGAGATCAGACGTGCTTTAGCAGGTGGCATTTTCTTTCTTTTGGCAGGTGAGCAAGCATCTTGATTGGGGGATTGCCATTGAAAGCGGGACGCTGTCATGTAGAAGTAGTCATGCAGCTATTATACACAATTTTTGGTTTCTGTTCGGGCATTCATCCAAATGTCAGAACAGCTAAGTTCGAACTCAGTCTTAGGCTCATACCTATTCTTGTCATGTTTGACTGGGAATCATGGACCCACCATGCAACCTGGGCACCTGACGACAGTGTGCCTTGGGTTTAGAGTCTAAGGACTGTACAGTCCTCATCAGAACGTTTGATGGAGGAGATTAATTCTACTGCCGGGCATCAGTCTAACCCTAACCTTAAGCTCTTAGGTTGTGGGCCCTCAATTACACCAATGCAGGCTACACCTAATCAGAGAGAGCAGTTGTTTCCAAACTGCAGCCCCGGAGGGCCAGATGCAGCCCTTTGCTTGCTTTTATCTGGCCCTTGGGTCACTATTTCATCCACTGATATCATCAATGGTGCAAAATTCCCTCCATTAACACCAATGATAGGGCACAATTCTTCCAATGACTCCAACAATGGGGCCCAATGACACCAATGATGGGGCACAATTTCTCCAGAGATTACAGCAGTGGGACGCAACGACATTAATGATGGGGCACAATTCCTCCAATGACTCCAACAATGGGACCCAATGACATCAATGATGGGGCACAATTCCTCCAATGACTCCAACAATGGAACCCAATGACATCAATGATGGGGCACAACTCCTTCAATGACTCCAACAATAAGGCCTAATGACATCAATGATGGGGCACGAATCCTCCAATGACTCTAACAATAAGGCCCAATGACATCAATGGTGGGGCACAATTCCTCCAGTGACTCCAACAATGGAACCCAATGACATCAATGATGGGGCACAATTCCTTCAATGACTCCAACAAAGGGACCCAATGACATCAATGATGGCGCACAATTCCTCCCATGACTCCAACAATGGGGCACAATGACATCAATGATGGGGCACAATTCCTTCAATGACTCCAACAATAAGGCCCAATGACATCAATGATGGGGCACGAATCCTCCAATGACTCTAACAATAAGGCCCAATGACATCAATGGTGGGGCACAATTCCTCCAGTGACTCCAACAATGGAACCCAATGACATCAATG